TAAAAATAGTGAGCTAAATAACAATACAAAGTTCGTTTTTTAATGAGATTTTACGCTCAGAATGTGAGCTAAATAATTAAAATGTGTTAGTGCCATTTTTCAACATTTTATTTTACACATGGCGCCCCATAACTTTTCTCTTACATTTAAAGACACAGTTACATGACAGTGACATATACAACCCCAATTCCAGTGAAGGGGCCTTGTTTAAAACATCAATAAAAACAGAATATGATGATTTGAAATTATTTTCAACTTATATTCAATTGAATACACTACAAAAAACACGATATTTAATGTTCAAACACATAAACTTTGTTTTCTAGCAAATATTCACTCATTTTGAATTTGATGCCTGCAACACGTTCCAAGAAAAGCTGGGACAGTGGCATGTTTACCACTGTGTTACATCACCTTTCCTTTTAACAACTTGCTCAATGGTTTGGGGACCCTGTTGTCGTATTTGGCGCTTCATAATGCACCACACAGTTTCAGTTGGAGACAGGTCTGGGCTGCAGGCAGGCCAGTCTAGTGTCCACACTCTTTTACTACGAAGCCACACAGTTGGAACACGTGCAAAGTGTGGCTTAGCAATGTCTTGCTGAAAAAAGCTGAGACATCCCTGAAAAAGACATTGCTTGGATGCCAACATGATGTTGCTCCAAAACCTGTGTGTAGCTTTCAGCATTAATGGTGCCTTCACAAATGTGCAAGTTATCCATGCCATGGGCAATAATACACCCCCATACCATCAGAGATGCTGGCTTTTAAACATTGCGCTGATAACAATCTGGACGTTCTCTGACTTTTTTGATGACTGTCGATGATAAAAACCCTAAATTGCATGCACTTTTACATTGAGAAACATCCTCAAACTGTTGGATTATTTGCTCAAGCAGGTGTTCACAAAGTGGTGAACCTTGCCCAATCCTTGCTTGTGAACGACTGAGCCTTTCAGGGATGCTCCTTTAGTACCCAATCATGACACTCACCTGTTTTCAATTAACCTGTTAACCTATTCCTCCTATTCCTAGCATTTCCTAGCATTTTGTTGCTCCTGTTCCAGTTGTTTCCGAACGTGTTGAAGGCATTACATTCAAAACGAGTGAATATTTGCAAAAATGTATCTGTTTGAACATTAAATATCTTGTCTTTGGAGTGCATTCAATTGAATATAAGTCAGAAAGTCATCTTATTCTGGTTTTATTCATGTTTTACACAATGTCCCAACTTCGTTGGAATTGGGGTTGTATAATAAAATGACTAAATGCATATAGTATATATAGTTTTTTTTTTCCAAATGTCTTTTGCGTTTGAAAACAGAGACAATGAGTGTAACACAGAAACAAAAAACAAACCGAAAAAGCAATAAAATCCTTTGCGTAAACCCATCAGGTCCAGATGCCTGACTATATTAAAATTTCTCAAGTTTAAACTCTTCTACCTGCTGCTACACTCAACTTTTCTTTTATCAAAGCTGTTATAAAATACCCAAATCAATACATTTTTTATAAACATATAAACATGTGTTATGATGTAAATATTTTTACCCTCTAATAAGGAAAAGATGCTCAGGCTCACCTGCAGCTGTGACTCCGTATCCAGGAGGACAGGGACTGTGTGCAATACAAAACTCCACCACTAGATGGAACCCTGGCGCACACTCACACAGCTGGTCGTGGGTGCTGTTGCACTCTTGCTTCACCAGCTGCCTCTCCTTACACACCTGAATGCAACACACAAACACACAACAGACCTTGGTCACATAGGTGGTGTGTGTAAACAGGCATGTGCAAAAAGTATTCATTCATAAGGAAGAAACTAAATATCATTTAGCATTTAAAAATGGTGAAATGTTGCTTTCAAAGTTTCACTGTAGTGGCAAAGGGGAAACTAATAAATGCTAAAAAAAACTAAACTAATAGAATCATTTTTTTTCTCTGGTGAAAACCTTAGGAAAAAAGGATTAGCTTCATAAAAAAGATACAGAAAAAGACTAAAACACAACACTAAAATTCAAATTCACAAAGCACATCAAAGACCTGCCTTTACAAATGATATAAATATTTAATTTACATCCTAAACTGTTGTAAAGAAGTGCAAACCTTTAGTGTCGTACATACCGAGGTACAATACTGGCACACGTCGCCCCAGTGCCAGTTCTCAGCGAAATGCCTGTCGGGACAGGGCTGGCACTCCGTGGGCGAGTCGGTGGTGCAGTGCTGCCTCACGGACGTCCCAGGAGGACACTGGTCGCATATCAGCAGGTCAGACGTCACAGGGTCTTTGTGGTGGTACTTTGGAGGCACAGCTTGTTGCTGAAAGGCCCAGGAAAAAGATGTCGTAAAGAGCTGCAAGAGAAAAGACAGCAAGATTTTAGCAGCGATGAAATCTTTTATAAAGACCTGTCTCGTGCGCAGTTGTTGTTTGAAACAAATTTGTCGTTTTTTTTACAGTTCACTTCATCTGAAAGCCTTCAGTAAGAAAAGTTAAAACAGCTGATTTAAATCAACATATCAGATTTTTTTTGAACAATCACTATCTTACCTGTTGTAGATAGCTCTTATAAAGTTTAATTTTGACCAGATTTACGAACTTACAACTAGTCAGAGCAGGGCCAGGACTAAAATGATTGCTCTTAGCAGCTGTAACACACTGGGTGTAACCTGAAGGACTTACAGGAAAAATATTTTGATCCTGGCTTGACAAAAAAATAAAAAATAATAAAAAAAAAGCAAAAATGAAGAATTGGATTATTTCCACCGAATTGATCAGAATTTCTTGCCTCTCATCAAAAATTTAAACAAACAAATATTTTACCCAGGCCCACATTCTGCACTTACGGAGTTAAAATGAACGCCTGACTATAAATCTGAGCTGACAAGCAGCTGATTGTAAGACAGACAGACTTTCAATTAGAAAGGCTTTAGTCTGGCCTTAAATCTACGGCATCATCTGGTAAGCATGTTTGACACGTAAGTGTGCAGCAGCACGAAACCACATGTGGACCAGATGTTACACACCAGAGTCCTTCCACTCAGGGCCTCAGCTATCGGCTCTGCAGACTTTCCCTCTGGCCAGGATTCATCCTCACTGCTCAGACAGCTAACAATAGAACCTATGTCTATTGTCTGCATTTGCTTGATTTATTTGGTTCTTGTCTTTGAGCAATGGGCAGATGTTTGTTTTTGCCTGTGTGTGCATGCGTGGGTTTGTTTATTCACATAAAATCTCGTGAAACACTGGACGGGTTTTATAAAACACATTTATAATGTGTCATTGGATGCTCATCCGCAGTTGATCAGTTTTTAGCCAATAAAATATTAACCTACATAAAAGCTGATTTGACTCTTACCATATTTATTCATATATAATGCCATCTAAAGTATAATGCAGCCCCCTCTCCCCATTTTTGGGTGTAAAAAGCATTTAAAAATCTTTTTCTGGTGTGTAAAATCCTGTAATTTCACTCTTCAGGATTTTTATGTCTGTACGGTGTACCCTTTGGTGGGAGAACATATTATTTTGGGAATACATATTTTTGAAAGACAGCAGAGGAATGACTTATTATCATTAATCCCCATGACATGATATTTCAATTATATACTGGAAAACATTAAAATTTATTGTGGTAGTTAGGCTTGTGCAGTATGATAGTATTTTGGTATACTGCTGCATTAAAATATGTAAAAATTATGTAAGTATATTAAACACATGAGGTGATGCACCAAGCTTCAACAAGGCTGCTATGAAAACTGGGACATCAACCTTCTAGGCCCTTTCAGAAGACGCCCCGTAACGTTACTGACGCGTGTTCTGACCACTCCAGAGGACGAACGTAGGAGGAGACAGGGGGACAGAGACACCCTCGTCTGCTGCACCTCCTACCCTCCGTGCAAGTTAGTGACAGAAATATTACACAGATGGTTTTGACATAAAATTGATCAAAATTGACTCCCATGTTTAATACAGCTCCCCAGCTTTTGGATGATATTTGAGTAAAAATATTTTTTCCCCACTATCCACACATAGATATATTCCTTCAAGTCAAACTGTATGTGCCTGAACAAAGGCAAAGGTGGGGAAGCTGCTAAAAATATATCACCACAAACAAAGCAGGTTTTGGCTCAAATTTGACTTTTCTAGTGAAGGAAATTTAATGTATTATTAACTAAATTAAAAATCCAGTCTTGTATTTTTTAGTCATATGTTTTAAAGACAGTATTTTTCTATCATTATGGCCTTTCCCACAGGAGGAAAAAGCTTGTTTTACATTTCAATGTGTGACGTAAAAGGTACCGTGTTATTGTTTTGTTTCGGATGAGGCCCAAGGCCTCAAACCTACAGGCCCTGCCTGGCTGACTGGTTGTGAGCTGGATTAGAGTTTAGATTTTTTTTATTAAACTTTTTAGAAGAAAACCCACTGGTTTTATACTAGGCTTCAAACTTTAAAGCTTTAGTATTAAAAGTAATGTCTACATTTTACTCCCTCTTCACTGAGATTTCAGTTAGTTAAAAGGCACAGTGTGTAGGATTTGTTGTTTTCAGCGACATCTAGTGGTTGAGTGGTTGAATCATCCTCCCTGGTCCTCCCCCCACCCCCACCACCTGCTTCCAAACACAAAGGAGTTGCTACGGTGTCTCTCAGGTGTCAAAAACCTTTGATAATTCCAACCGCGATGTCTACCAGCAGCTTCAGGGCTAGTGATGTTTCAAGTGGTAAGATTATGAGCTTTACTAAGTAAAATTATCCCAGCTACAATGACAGAAAACAAATATTACATTTATAGTGTTATGGATTAATTATTTATATCTGTTCTACCTTGACACTGTCCAGTACTAATATCTTATGATAACTACTTTCAGCTGTTTTAATCTGTTTGCCCCAGACTTCAAGACTCCAGCAATGCATGACCTCTCTTTACTTTGATAAAGTAGCTCCTGGGCTGACAGCCCTGTTATTGGTTAGGTGGTTACAGTTGTTGAATTGTGATTGGTTGTAAACTGTCACATGATGTTATATCATTGGCTGCGCTACGCTGACGCGGCAGTCACAACACGACAGACTTCCTGATTGACCGTCTGCTGTGTTGTTGCTCAGAATTAAATCATTTGACGACCATACACGCAGACTTTCTGTGTGTTTATTCCGTGTTTCTGCATTCTTGGTAAATCATGCCACGACAATAGTATTACAACTAAAACCGTTTTTGACGCCGCCACCGCAGTTTGTCCTTCATGAGCCTTCGTAGACAAGATGGCGGTGCAAGATGGCGGCTGCCTGTAGTGGCGACCCGCGACCATGGAGATATAAACAGCTTTTTTTAAGGTAAAAATAATAAAACAAGGTCTTTGTCTGCAATGATTAGACATGTTTTTTATTATTGTCATTAGTGATTATCTCAATTTCGGCTAAAAGAACTGACAAAATCCTACACATTGTGCCTTCACGTCCAACTTAACAGCAAACCAGAAGCCACCAAACCTTCTGCTGAGACGAAACTTAGCTTTAGAGAGGCAAAAGAAAGATAAAGTTGTTTTTAAAAGTTAAAATGTGCTAAATCTCTTTTTTCCCCATGATCTTCACCAGTTCATAAAAGGGGGAAGAAGTACCAGTCCTTCCTTTTATAATATAATCAGACACTAAGCTCCAAGCGCTAGCAGATTACGTGAGACTGCACACATCATTTTTGAAGTTGAACTAAATGAGCTACAACTCCATCGTTTCTCAACATAAGATGAGCTTAGTATAAAACTCTGGTATGAAAAGAAGTGGGGAGTGAGACATGCTCAGCCTTTAATTTATTAAGTTTGTTTCTCCGAGCAAATTCATCCAGCAGCAATCTCTGCCATGTGTGGAAAACATCAGCGGACGTGAGTGTGATCTACGCACGCTGGGGAATGTTGTGTCGAATGTTTGTTGAGTTTCTCGTACAATTACTGCCTTCCTCTCTCGGAGTCGGTGTCCAAGCTCTGCGGCTTCGTCTCCTGGCTGCTGCACGTTGAGAGGACTGCTAGAGGTTTCTGGGCTTTTCCCCGTTTTCGCCACCAGAGCCCAAAACCGGTTCGTTCTTTAGTTGACAAAACTGCGCTCTATTGATCTTCATTCTGCACGTTTCGATTCGCAAACTTTTACCCAGCACTACCAAGAGATGTGTGCTTCGGGATGAACTTTCTTGTTGTGATTGCACGTGTGTGTTCATGTTTAGGGGGAAGTGAGCATGGAGGAGATAATATGCTGTACAGCTGTCCTCCTTGTTTGCCTCATGCTACAAATCATGCTGAGCTGCTTGGAGCTGCCAGTCCAAAGTGAACCAGTTATGTTCTCCTTAAATAATTTATAGATTTCAGGGCCCGTTTTGTGTAATCTCTTCCCGCTTCTCTTCGCAACGGTGTTCACTAAGAAATGGATGGTAAAAATAGATTGAGTGCGTTTTTCTTTTTTTATGCACCATAATAGAAACCAAAGCTTCAAACAGGCCTGCAGAGCGCGGCGGTTTTCCCGGCAAAAACCTATCGACCTCTGAACACAGCGTTTGAGGGAATGGCTTTCATCTGCAGCGACTGGCTGAGAAGTCCCAGAGCGGCAGGAGTTTGTTTGGAGTCCGGGTGGGCCCAATCAGGAATCAAAACCCATAATCACAGCTTCGTTCTTCGAATTAAGGAATGTACACACACAGTATTAAGCCCCAAGGCCACATCCTATTACTTTAGAAACATCAGAAAGTACTGACAATGTATACTGACGGGGAGGCTGACTGTTTTTCTAAATGTTAGATGATGAGTTCTTCAGCTGGTTCTTAAGCAACGCCGTCAGGATTTGCAAATACTGCTGAAAATAAACAAAAATAATTTGAATTCTCAGTGAAGTTTATTTTAAAAAAAAACAACTCGAAGTGTAAGAAATGTCTTTAAAATGCCCGAAACAGTTTGATGATCGAGTGCAATTTCCCCACATTTCTTCATCCAGTCCACAACTTTCACACTTGTTGCTGATTATAATGAATAAACCAAAAAGCAAACTAACTTGAGGTCAGCGTGTCATCTAACTGTCATTATTGGAGTATTTTAAATTCAGTTCACTCGTCAGCTGAGACTCATCTCTAAAAGTAAAATATGTCCAACTTCAAAATAAAAGCCTCCTCTGCTGCTAACACTTCCTGCAAAGCTTCATCTCTGTCTGATATGAAACCTGTCGAATCTTTGATCTGTTCAGAAGATCATCCATTTTCACTTTCTAATCGGCCAAAACGACAACTTACTAAGAACTAAATATTTACGTTTTTTTTAAATTAAAGTTGTCCTGCAGCTATTTTTGTCTGAACGATTGACCTCTTTTAGCCTTGTCACC